AAGGGTGATGATGCTGACAGCAGCTTGGCTCTGGCAGAAAAGCAAGCGTGTGAATGGATACTCCGTAAGATCCCTGGGCCCTAGGGGGAATGAGAGGGAGAGGAGTCTGTGGCTGCAAAGTTGGTTAGAGGAGTTGGCCCACAAGGGTGGAAAAATTAATGGTGGGGGGTTTACTTCCTAGGAAGCATATTGATTTGATCAAGTGCCTTCAATGTGTTCCTGCCCTAAGGTGGCTCATGGTCTGGGAGACTGCAGTTCAAGGGCAGAAAGTCTGAGAATCCTCTGTCAGCACCAGCTACACAGTGGTCCTCCCAGCTGAGGTAGAAATGTGAGGAAGGTCACTGTCCAGGCCAACCTGTCTGCAAGTAACCAGAGTCAAAAGGGATGACTAGCCCCTGACTAGCAAGCAGGAACATGGAATTTACTCTCATACTGACCAAAAAATTGCTGCCCTGATTCTGAGCAGGACTCTAGCCGTGTGTGGGGGTGGGGTGGGGGGTGTGTGGGTGGGGGGGTGGGTGTGTGGGGGTGGGTATGTATGGGGGGTATGGGGGTGTGTGTGTGTGGGTGTGTGGGTGGTGTGGGTGTGGGGGAGTGTGGGGGTGGGTGTGTGAGTGTGTGTGGGGTGTGAGGGGTGTGTGGGGGGGGTGTGGGGGTGGGTGTGGGGGGGTGTGAGTGGGTGTGTGTGGGTGTGGGTGAGGTGTGGGGGGGTGTGGGGTGTGTGTGTGTGTGTGTGGGGTGTGTGTGTGGTGTGTGTGTGTGGGTGTGTGTGTGGCCAGTGCACCGCTGTCTTCAGTAATGATGCACTTTTGTGTCACCTGAAACACAGTTTGTGATAAGCAGTAAAGGCAGACTGTGCCTTGGGTACTCCGTGGGAGGAACGTGCTGGACGACGCTTTCTCTGAGTGGTAGGGGTTATGGGACATTTTTGTTGTGTGCTTTGTGAGTGTGTGCTGGACTGCAGTGGTGAAGCAGTGAGAACTGGAGGAGCCGTCGGCTGCAGAGCTGCCCTGGGGCCAGGCCCCCTGGCCCAGGGGGTCGGGGAGAGAGCCGTCAGGGACGCCCTCACTGGAGGCTGTTGGCCAGGGGCTGGCTGGGTGCCTAGGTGTGAGCCTCTGGTGTGACTGGCAGGGCTTCTGCCTTTCTGGTTGGGCCTCTGTTGATAGCAGGGACAGAAACTAAAGACCCTCAGCTTTTAGGTCCTGGCCTTAGGGACCATCGTTAGGAAGTTACGACTTAGATTCCTGGGGTGTTGTAGGGAGCCTGCTGCTGAAGGCTTTGGCCTCAGGCCAGTTACTGAAGATGGTGGGTCAGCATTCTGGTGGACATACGATCCATCTCTTCATCTCTACATTGATCTCCTCCAAGAGTAAGTACTAGGAGGGGTGCTTCTGGGCTTTCCATTTTCTGCTGTGATCTGTTCACAGTATGGCCCCTAGGAGCTGCTGCCCTCAGCCAGTCCCCAAAAGAGTCCTCTAGAGCCCTAATCTGTCTTCAGAATGGGGTGCAAGGATCGTTGTTTACCCTCTGAGGGACTCATGACCTGGGGCATATAAGGACACTTCCAGGACAGGACAGTTGAGTGCCGAGGACATCAGTGTTTGGTGTTGATTTCTTAATTTTTATTTAAACAGGACCTCCAGTGCTGGGATTGCAGACATGCACTACCCTGGCTGGCTTGAATGTACCTTCTTGAGCTGTCTTTAAGTGTGAGGTGTGTGTCCTGGCCCACTCATTCTCATTCTCACTCCCTTGGTGAGTTGTCCCCACCAGCCCTGGTTGGCCAGGCTGATTTCCCAGGACCAGCCTTCCTTTGGAGTAAATCATTCTGCCACATGTCTGAGGTCTGGAGTTCTGTGTATAAGCTAAGGTTTAATTCAAGTCTTTGGGTAGATTTGGTTGAGTTCTGCATTAAATCATGCAGAGTTAAATTTTTAGATCTATTTATAGGGCATGATGGCTTATACCTATAATTCTAGCTATACAGATGGCAGAGATCAGGAGGATCACAGGATAGTCTGGGCAGGGTTTTGTTTGTTTTTGGTCAGTCTTGGGGCCTGAACTCTGGGCCTGGGTGCTGTCCCTTAGCTCTTCAGCTCAAGGCTAGCACTCTACCACTTGAGCCACAGCGCCACTTCTGGTTTTCTAGCAGTTAATTGGAGATAAGAGTCTAACAGACTTTCCTCCCTGGGCTGGCTTTGAGCCTTGATCCTCAGATCTCAGCCTCCTGAGTAGCTAGGATTACAGGCATGAGCCACTGGCCCCTGGCCAGTTTTTGTTTTTGTTTGTCTGTCATGGGGCTTGAACTCTGGGCTTGGGCACTATCCCTCAGCTCTTCAGCTCAAGGCAAGCACTCTACCATTTGAGCCACAGCGTCACCTCTGGTTTTCTGAGTGGTTTATTGGAGATAAGAGTCTCACAGACTCTGCTGCCCGGGGTGGCTTTGAAGAGACCTCATCCCAACCAATCACTGGGTATGGAGGTATGCATCTGTTAATCCAGCTGCCCAGGAGACACCAATAGGAGGATGCTGTGAGACCATATTAAACACAAAAAATAAAGGTCTGTGGAGGTTTGACTCAGTGGTGAAACACTGAGCTGACGTTCATGGAGACCAGAGTTCATACTTCAGTACTACAGAAGAAAAAGAAGGGGCTGGGAAGGTGGCTCAGTGGTAGAGCGCTTGCCTTGCATGCCTGAGGCCCTGGGTTCGATTCCTCAGCACCACATAAGCAAAAAGAAAAAAGCCGGAAGTGGCACTGTGGCTCAAGTGGTAGAACGCTAGACTTGAGCTGAAGAGCTGCGGGACAGTGCCCAGGCCCAGAGTTCAGGCCCCATGACCAGACCCAAAAAAAAAAAAAGAAAAACACCCAAAATTTTAAGGATTAAATTTGTACCAAGACAAAGAACTTGAATGTTATCAGAAGCAGTTGACAAGCTGGACACTGGTGGCTCCTTCCTGTAGTCCTAGCTACTAAGGATATCTGAGGATTGAGAATAGAGGTTCAAAGCCAACCCTGCAGGAAAGTCCATGAGACATTAATATCCACTTAACCAGAAAACACGGAAGAAACCCAAACAGAAGTGGAGATATGGCTTAAGTGGTAAAGTGCCATCCTTGAGCAGAAAAAGCTAAGCAAGTGCTTGAGGCTCTACTACACACACACATACACACTGGTCCAGGGGTGTGTCACTAGTTTTTCCACTCAAGGCTAGTGCTCTACCACTTGAGCCACAGCTCTCCTTCTGTTCTGTTGGTGGTAAAGTCTCACAGACTTTCCTGCCCTGGCTAGCTTTGAACAGCAAACCTTAGATCTCTTTCTTTCTGAGTACCTAGGATTACAGGTGTGAGCCACTGGCATCTGGCTGAGATATTCCTGACTTAAAGCCCCAGGATACACACACACACACACACACACACACACACACACACACACACACACACACACACGACAGGTCGTAAGCTAGCATGTCACACACACACACACACGACAGGTCGTAAGCTAGCATTTCTCATACACGCACACACGACAGGTCGTAAGCTAGCAGGTCCATGGCTGGAGGGGCTTTGTGAACATCACCCCTGCTTGCTGCTCTAGAGAAACCATCTCGTAGGGAACTAAGCTGAGATGGCGATGGACCCACAGGAAGAAATGTGACAACGGCTGTGTAGAGTCTGTCCCCACCCCACCGGTGGCATCTCCCTGAGGGGCACATCCACGCATGCGTTCCCTCTCCAGAGATGGCCCTACCCGGCCACGAGGGCTGCATGCAGCCCTAGCGTTGAGGAGGTGAGGCGCATGGGCGTGGCCTCTTCAGGCTGCTTTCCCTGGGTCCCTGCATGTCACCAGCTCTGCCTGTCTGCTGCTTAGAAGGACTTCATGGGATGGCAAGGCCTGTTTCTCAGCCCTTCCCCGCAGGAGGGACTGTCCCCGACCGCCTTGGGGTTGTGGAGGAATAGAGTGCTCTGAGCATGCCTGCTGTGTTTGTCTTCTTGTGATCAATCCCAGAGGTCCCTTAATCGTTTAGAATTGAAGATGCTGCACACAGAGGCGGTGGACACACTGAGAAGAGGGGGGATCCCTCCCCTTTGTTTAGTCTGGGGCAGAGTCAGCAGGAATGACCTGCAGAGAGTGCCCAGGTTGTGAGAGACATCACACCCACACCCCAGCCCCCCTCCCCCCCCCCCCCCCCCCCCCCCCCCCCGGCCACAGGGCCCATTCAGGTCCTAATGTTGGCATATTTAGATTTCTATGACTCAGTGACTTACTTAATTTTTAAATAATTTGAAATTAAACTGTTTAGCGTATATTGCACACGTTAGATGAGAGAAACGCCGTGCACATGGAGTAACTGAATTCCTGAAAGGCTAGTCCTGACTGGCCCCCAGTCCCGCGCAGCCGGAGGGTGACCCAGGTTGGGCAGAATGTGGCCAGGCAGGTGGTGTATATTGGGGACGTCTAAGGGCTCGGTCAGGACCTGGGTCTGCTGCGTCAGGCTGCCCCCACTCACAGCACACTGCCAGGACCTTGTCTTCTGAGGGTAGTGCCACAGAGCCAGGCAGCACCCGCCCACTGGGGGCCGATTCTGGGCCCCCTGTCCGTGTGTGCTTCAGAGGTGCCTTTGTTAGCAAGCTCCCGGGGAGAGGGCTAACTTCAGAAACACATTAGGTGACTGTCGCTGGTCCGTAAGTAGCAGCAGCCCCCGCGCCCCCACACGCCGCCGCCATGTCCCTCTTCCCTCACAGGCGCTTTACACACCTTGCTGTGATGATGAAAGCTGCTCCCGCTTGGAACCAGCCGTGGCCAGGTCCCCTCACGAGGTGTCTGGTGCCTGTGTGCTGTTGCAACCCCCACCCCCCATGTAATAGCTGCACTGTGACCTCCATACATGTGTACAGTGTGCTCTGATCAGACCCACCCTCCCCGCTCCCTTATCCTCCCCTACCTCTAGACAACTCCGCCAGGTGGGCTGAACGGGCTCTTCTTTGGTTTCCACAGCACGATGTTTGCACGAGGGCTGAAGAGGAAGTGTGACCAGGAGGAGGTCACAGAGGGCTTTGGCACTGTTCCGTCCTACAGTCTACAGCGGCAGTCGCTCCTGGACATGTCCCTGGTCAAGCTGCAGCTCTGCCACATGCTGGTGGAGCCCAACCTCTGCCGCTCTGTCCTCATCGCCAACACAGTCCGTCAGATCCAGGAGGAGATGAGCCGAGATGGTGTGTGGCACCCTGGGGCACCCCAGGGTACGGGGCGGGCACCGCTGGACCGCCTGGTGTCCACAGAGGTCCTGTGCCGCACAGCACGGGGCCCCCACGGGGAGCAGGCTGTTCCTGAATCCGGAGAGAGCCCCTCCCAGACCCCAGCTCCCGGACTTTGCACAGTCAGCTTGGGACAAGAGCTGCGGGACCCTGAGAGCGGCCTCTGGGAGATGGACAGCCCTCGGGAAAGCAGGGCGAGCTTCTCCAAGTCACTGGATCAGATATTTGAGACCCTGGAAAGCAAACCCCCTGGTTCCATGGAGGAGCTGCTGTCTGACGTAGAGAGCTCCTACTACGACCTGGACACCATGCTGACGGGCGTGGTGAGCGGCTCCAAGCCAGGCCTGTGCGGCGGGCTTGAGGGCTTCACCACGGCCCCTTCTCCCTCCTCGGGCTGCAAGTCGGACCTGGCCGAGCTGGACCACGTGGTGGAGATCCTGGTAGAGACCTGAGAGGCCCCTGCAGGCCAGGGACATGGCCACAGGCTCAGAGCATGTCGGAGAGAGCATGGGCCTAGGGAGGGTTTCTGAATCTCCAGGCTGGCCTGCTCCTGGGGGGCCAGGGCAGAGACTGCCTTGCAGACCACAGCCCTGGGCCCATTCCCCCACCCACGCCCCCATCTCTGGGCTGCAGCCATGGTGGAGGACAGCAGGCATCCAAGCTGTGGACACTTAAGATAGTGAACCTGTGAAATTGTCATGTTTCAGGCAATATTTTTTAAAAGCATCTTTTTAAACTTTTTATATTTTATCCCTGTAGATTTTTTCAGCTATTTTCTTAAAAGTATATTTTTTCTACAAATGTCCTCTGCTGCTACATTAGAAACTTTTATAGCCTAAGCCATTGTAGTGGATGTGTTTCAGTTTTTAAAGGTTAAATTAGACTGGAATTTTTTGGTGGGCTTCACTCACTCAGAGGCAGCCACAGAAATGTTGGGGTGTTTGACTTGAGCTGTGCTTGTGACCCATTCCCCCTTGCAGTCCTGCATTCCAGCAGCGTGCGGCGTGGACGCATGAGCAGGGCTAGTGGCCGTGTCGCCTGCGGGTCTTCCTCCTGGACTTCAGTCTTATTTGTGTGGGGGCCGCTGAGGGCAGAGGTGAGGTGCTGCAGGTCCTGGCGCCAGCTGGCCCTGAAGGGCTGATGCCTATCTGTGTGGGGGCCGCTGAGGGCAGAGGTGAGGTGCTGCAGGTCCTGGCGCCAGCTGGCCCTGAAGGGCTGGGTCTCGGGTGGTTGTGTTCTAGTCTCATTGGGTCATGGGGAGGTGGGGGAGGGTGGGGGGCCTTCCTGTCTGCTTCCCAGCAGGCCTGCAGGTGAGGCAGGTGGGAGGAGCCTGGAGGGTGCGGCTCCAGCGTGGGGAGTTCAAAGGTGAGTGCCCGCGGGGCCCCTGGCTTGCTCTGTGACACGGGTACTAAACAACATTTGGAGGTTCAGTTTAAATCTGACCCGAGCATCACTAGCATGTGTGTGGCCCCTGTGCCCGCTGGAAGTGAGACGCCACCTCCACCCAGACAGGTGCTTCCTGGCTCACTTCCTCCAGAGCCTGACAGGTCTATGGCTTTTTTGTGCCTGTGACCATTCTTTTATCTCAACAATGTAAACCTCACTTTATTTTATGTTTTTTTTTTTTTTTTGGGTCCGGTCGTGGGGCCTGAACTCTGGGCCTGGGCGCTGTCCCTCAGCTCTTCAGCTCAAGGCTAGCGCTCTACTACTTGAGCCACAGCACCACTTCCGGCTTTTTTCTTTTTGCTTATGTGGTGCTGAGGAATCGAACCCAGGGCCTCAGGCATGCAAGGCAAGCGCTTTACCACTGAGCCACCTTCCCAGCCCATCACTTTATTTTTAAAAAAAGATCCAGCAAACAAAATGTGATGGTTGTGAATGGTCTACAGGCTCTTTCAGCCTTATCCAATGCCTTGTAGAGGTCGACGAGTTCCACTCTGTGCTGTGCCCGGGATGGCTGCTTCTGGGATCTCACGGGGCTCCTCTACTTTGATGGGCCCTGCCTCCTCAGGGTCTGACGGCCTTGGCCGTGGGCTCGCTAAGGGCTGGTGTGCCAGGGCTCTGGGCAGGGCCACAGGGGAGGCAGTAGATGAGCACAGTCCCAAATCCCAGATGGCCCTCCTAATCTTGAGTGTTTCCCCCATGGAAGCTAGCTCAGAGGGTGTATGATGCATGGTAAAGCAATGCTTGTGGGTATTTTGGTAGCTATTCTAGGTATTAGGAGTAGCTGCACTGGAAAGTGCAGGACTTTGCAGTGAGACTTGAAGCTTGTGGCTTCGGGGTGTTTGCTGGGGAGAATAGTCCTGGGGTGCCCAGAGAGAGTCAGCATCAGCCCAGCCCCGGCCTGCAGCCAGGTATAATCCTCTGGTCTGCCACGGGCAAAGAACCTTCTGGGTTGGCACTGGCCGTTGCTGAGGGTTGAGCTTATGCAGCTGGTCCCCAAGTCCCGGTTTCTGGATACAGCTCTCCTAACATCTTAGGCTGGAACGTGGAAAGTCCTTATTGCCGCTGTAGTTCACAGTGGTAGGGGACTGCTTTTCCGTCACCTCTTGCCAAGCTTAGCATATTAAAATCTATGCACACAAATGAATTGACTTTAGACCTGATTTTCCAACTGGGTTACATTCTTGCACTTGAGTTCCTTACACGCCATTTATGAAATGGCCTCACGCCTTTCTCCCCAGCCTGGCTTCAACTACAGCCTCTTGATGTGTGTTACTGCACGTTGTCTTCTGGTTGAAAGTGAAGATTTAAAGCAGCCTTCCTTGTGGCTTCAGGCTACATGGTGTTGGTGGCACAGCCCTGGGTGGCTGATGCCCAGACTGACTGAGACACACAGTTGTCCTTTCCTTCCCCTTCACACTGCACATGTCCTGCCAGCAACACTGGACAGGTTGGCCCCATGCCAGGGGCCTCCACCCAAACCACCGCATCCCCCAGCATGGCCTCTGTCGGTTCACACCTCAGGCCTCCCTTTGGGACAAGATGTGGACAAAAGCCCCTGCAGAGCCAAGGTAACAGAACACAGGCTTATTATCCAGGCCTTTTTATTTCATAACAGTCTGTAAAACTCGGCTGCCTGGAGAAAGTGGCCTTGGCAGATGACCCTGGAGAGCCACCTCCACCAGATGCTGCCCAGGCCATCCTTGTACAGCCTCCGTCTACCTGTCCATGCAGAGGAAGGCCTGTCCTCACAAGCCCTGGGACCGGGGCCAGGTATGGGGGGCTCACTGACTCCGGGCAGCGGCGCACCCAGGGGCTCCACCTGGGTGTGCTCAGGCAGCAATCCTGGTGGCCTCAGCATGTCTGTGGGCTGGGCCTGGGGCCATCCCTGGCACTGGGCTGCAGCGTGCAGTGCGCCGCAGAGCCCTGCCCCTCTGCTTGTGGACTGGCTCTCCGAAGGGCATACCTCCCACACACCCTTATCAGTCTGGGTGGACTATGACAGGTCCAAGGAGACGTGTGAATTTGGGAAACAGCTCCACAAAACAGTTCTTGATTTCTAGTACCAAACCAAGCCAGTAAGAAAATGTAAAAAGCTCCATAAAGATAAAAAGTGCTCCGTTATAGCAGATGTCATTATTAAAGAACGCCACTTTCAAGTTGCGTGGAGAGAAAATCTTCTGTGGCACTGTGGGGTGCTGCTTGTCCCCGAGGGGGGCATCTTCAGAAACAAGCTGTAGGTGATGAGACTTCCCCGTCTGCGTCCTGCTGTCCCTGAGAGCTAAGAGGTGGTGGCGGTCAGGCCAAGTACACAAGACAAGCAATGCCCCTCAGATGTGTGTCCTGCCTGCCCTGTGCCACTCAGCATTCAGTCTGAGAACCACCCCGGATGGCGATGCCCCAGGCCTGAGGCTGCCGGGACGCCTCCTGCCCCTGGCCTCTTCTCATGGAGCCTCTGCGCTCACCCGCAGCCTGACAGTGGCATTGCCATCCTCCAGGCCTCTGGCCTGCCTTCTGCACTAGGATGATCAGAGGGAGACGGTCTTCAGGGAGGCCCCATGTCCATCTCCAGGCCCACTGTGTGCGGTCATGACAGGGCCTTCTGAGAGCCCACACCATCACCATGTGTCAGCCATCCAGGCTGTGGCCGTCAGCTGGGCAGTGCCATCACTTGTTACAACAAGCCCCTGGCCCAGCTCTGTCCTGGTTCTGTCATAAGGCATGGCTCCAGGGGCCTTCCCCCAGGTTGCACCCCACCCCTCCTCTACCACAGCCTCTGCAGAGCACTCCCTGGCCACACCGGCCACACCTGTGGTCTCCCAGCGTCCGTGCTAAGCCTGTCCAGCAATTCCTGGGCAAGGTGAGTATGAAATCCTGTCCCAGGTAGGCCTCCTTCTTCATGATCAAAGAGAAGGCTGCAGAATGAGCCCGTCTGCTCAGCCTGCCTGCCCCCCTGCAGTGTGGTCCTGAAGAAGGGACTCTCAGTGCCAGGGTTCAGGCCCAGCCCCTCACCCCGCCCTACCTCCTCACCAGACCCTCTCATCGCCAGGGGTTTTCTGCGGTCCTTAGCACCCTGAAGCAGCAGTCCTGCCATGCATGTTGGCCCTAGACTATGGCCAAGTTCACTTTTCCCAAGCCCACAAGAGTTAAAGGAGAAAACCTGGACTCCAAGACTTCCCCAGGCCTCTCTGGGTGCTCTCACCTTGGTCCGGATCAGGGCTTTGCAGGGCTGCGGCTGGAAGGTGCTGCCCGCCAGCCTGTCTTCAGGCTCGCTCACGTCTGAGCCGTCTAGAATGGGACCCTGGCCTCCAGAAAGACTCTGAGGAAACAAACCTCTGTCACACGTCACGATGTTCTCCTGATTCTGGACAGTAGGTAAACCCACTCTTCAAGAGAGGCCCACAGGCGCCCTGGCCAACCCTGTATGGCCCACGGACTTGCAGAGCCCCAGCACCCCTCAGCCTGTCTGCTGTGGTCTGAATGTGCTGAGTTCACATGCTGACAGGTTTAGAGGCAGGGCCCTCTGGAAGTGACTAGGACTAGAGGTAGTCATGAGGGTGGGCTCCTTGGGGTTGCACTAGTGGCTTGGTGAGGAGAGGCCGGGCTTGGCATTCTGTGCCCCACCGGCCCTGCGATGCCCGTTTAGGACACAGTAGGTAGGCCTCATCACGTGCCAGGGCCGTGCACTTGCATCTCCAGCCTCCACCACCGTGAGCCAGACTATAACTCACCCATCTTGAGTATTGTGTTATAGCAACAGAAAATGCCCAGAGATGTCTTCTCAGCTGCCTCCAGGATGAGCCTCCCACCCGGGACCCCCCACTTCCTAGCCTCCTGGTGGTCTTTCCTGCCCTGGCATCACCACGGTCCTCTCTGCTCCTCCGCCTGCTGCTCACTTCCTGAAAGCCAGTGGGGAGGGGGGCTTGGCAACTGCTTCACCAGGACTACCTTGCGGCCTGGCCAGCCCCTCCGTGCGTAATGCTCGCCACGATACTGAAGAATGGGAAAGATCTTTGTCATACGGTCACCGACAGGCGGCTTCATGCTAAGGTGCGTGGCCCGACGGGAGCCTTGGGCTCCTGACCCTCTCCCCGCTGCCACTCTGCCTTGCGCTTGGCTGGCATCAGGGCTCCCAACGTGTTTACGAGGCCACCCACCCCACTCTTGGGGTCCACCACCCCTGCACTGCTGACGCAGCTCCCTCCAGTGTGCCGGACTTCCTGGCCACGTGCCCATGGCCACGCACCGCTGGCCCTGTCACTGCTCCCTGGGTGCCCTCCACGCACCATCTACCCTGAGCTGCTGATGTACCCGGACAGTCTATAGCCCTGGGGGTAGTACGTCTACCGAGCAGGTGCCCAACCCATTTCTCCATCTGCCTCTACTGTCCCATCCTGCCCACAGGCTCTGAACTTCATGGCATGCGCGCCCATACGCAGTACCTCTTTTCCTACCCGCCACACCCACCCACATCTCCACAGCTGCTCCTCACGGATACCCAGCAGGAGCCTTGCACAGGTGTGAGAGACAGATGGGTACCCACAGCACTCTTGCCTTGCTGCTGCCTTGCCCTACCATGGCCACCTTCTAGAAAGCCACCAGGAATGGTGGTTTCTGCAGGCCTGAGGCAGGCAGTGTCCCTGCGGCAGGCCAGAGGGCCCACCCCCCCAGCCTGTCCCAGAACAGAAGCTGCTGAGTGGGCCATAGCCACAGCCAAGTCTCCGCCCAAGCCCACCTCACCTGAGCAGCATCTATGCCGAGGAGGAAGAGGAGATTCTCCTGGCAGCGGGAGCCCCTCCACAGGCACTGGGAGGCAGACATGGGGATGGAGCTCTGAAGAGCTCTCCAGAGTCTCCTTGAATCGCAGCTGGAAAACAGACACAGCCATTACATGGTCATTACAAGCAGTGGGCCTGGCCTCAGCAGGCAGTGGGCCTGGTGCCACCCGCTGCTCATCTACATGCGTACGCATCATTCCTGGCAGCGGTAGCTGCTGCCTATGCATCTTCTCCAGGAAAAGCCAGGTGCTCTGCTGTTTTCGTTTACTAGGTGCCTAAGCTATGCTAGCCACAGACAGAGGCCCACAAAGCTGCAGAATTAGCACTAGGAGCCATCTATTATAGCCAATATTAGTGCGTGCTGTGGGGACTGAGGGGTGTATCTTGACCCTGGGCCGGGAGGGGGGGGAGGGTAGTGAAATGGGTGTTGAACCACCACAAGGCAGATGAAACTGGAGGGTCTCAGAACCACAACCACACCCTCTCCATCCAAGCAGTCCAGCCTGCCAAGCCTGATGCCAGCATGCCATCCCAGCCCTACTGGCCTGCAGAGGCTGCCCTGAGACCAAACTTTGCAGGAGTACCACACAGAGGGCACAGGGTGAACTGCAAATTCACCGGCTTGGCCCCCATCAGGAGTCACAGCGGGCTGCCGGAGGCCAGGATGGCCCATCTATGAGCTCTAAAGACCTGCTCAGACCTGGAGACCCTGCAGCACACTCTGCATCCTCCAAGGGGCACAGGGGCCCATGCGCCCTGCCTTCTTCCTCCTCAGACCCACAGGCCAGCTCGTCTCAGCCTCTTTCACAACACAAAGCAGCCTAGCACTGTTCCTGTTGATGTTGCTTGAAGGAATGTTTTTACAATGGCCACAACAGGACAGGACAGGATGACAGAGTGTGGCTGATTGGCCCTGAGAACCTTCATCCTTACAGGCCGTGTGGGAAGTGCACACAGGGCTGATCCCATGAGGCAACTGGCTGCCCCTGGTGTTTACAATGACCCCAGGGCTGAGGTTTTTGAGGCTTCCAGAACCCAAGCCTGGAGGGTTCCCCCCCCTCCACCGCAGCAACATCCACCTGCACCCCCACCATCCACCTGCACCTCCACAGATGGTTCAGGAGCACTGCACTCTCCAGGAGGGACCCAGAGCCTCAAACAGTAGCACAAATGCAGAGCTGCCCCAAGGATGGTCATTACCACAGTTTGTGCACAGATGTGAGGCCAGGATTCTCTTCACTGTTTTTTCCTAAGAAATGGTCTAAGGTAGAAATGTCTTCTGTTGCCTGCTCCACTGGGACTTCTTGAAAAGCAGACCTAAAAACATTCTCATAACTGAGAATGGGCTGGAAAAAAAAAAGGATATTCAAAAGTTAAAAGAAATGCAGGCATTGGCTTATCCCAGGCCATGGACTTTGGTAAAAATGAAGTACAAGTATTGTACCATCAGCTCTACTCTCCCCCTATTAGCCCTTCCCTAAGGCCCTTGGCCATGTGAAAGCATGCAGTGGGAACCACAGGGCTCTTGGGCCAGCAAGGGCATACCTCAAGCTTGGCTGGCAACAACAAAGGTGACCTCGACGCCAGGCCCTTCCATGTTCTCTGGATGGCAGTGGGGGCACACTTCACCCTGAAAAGGCCCTGAGGGTCTCAACTGGGCAGGATGGTGATACCAGGTGTGACAGGATGGCAAACCGGGGCGCCTGACTTGTCAGGTGTGAGCTATCTGGATTCAACAAGCCCAGCTCAGCTGACTGTAGTTTTCTATATTCACTTAAGTGTTTCATGTAAAATTCCCTTTATGCTTGAATGTTCCCTAGTGTGCCTACCACATTAGAAGAAAGTCTTGCTTGCAAACAAATGTTACAGCAGAGCTGTACCGGGACCTTAGAGGTCCAGGGAAATGGGTTTATAACGTGTGTGTGCGTGCGCATGCGTGCACGAGGTGTACATGCTGGTCCTAAGGCTTGGACTTGGATCTGGTGTCTGTCCCTGAGCTTTAGTGCTTAAGGCTAGTGCTTTACTACTTTGAGCCACAGCTCTACTTTAGCTTTGGGTAGTTAGCTGGAGATAAGAGTCTCATGGCATTTCCTGCCTGGGCTTGCTTCAACCACAACCTTCAGGTTTCAGCCTCCTAAACAGCTAGGATTACAGGCATGAGCCACCAGTGCCAGGCAGGGAAATGGGTTTAGAGAGCAGTCCATCTGCACCACTAGTGATGGAGTCACTGTTTTTATCTTTTCCTTCCTGGTTTTATTTTTTGGTCTCTGGTGTTTAGGATGAACCACTAGGATCTGCACCACTAGTGATGGAGTCACTGTTTTTATCTTTTCCTTCCTGGTTTTATTTTTTGGTCTCTGGTGTTTAGGATGAACCACCTGGGTTCGTATGGAAGAGAAAAGGAGCAATGGAGGGAAGAGGTCAACTAGAAACCAAGGATCAAAGGCAGTTACAGAGGGAGGGGGGGTCAGTTCTGAGGCAGGGCGAGAGGCAGGGCCAGCATTACTCAGTTTATTACCCACTTGCTTGTAACTTTCATAATGTGGAACTTTCTAAATCTGCAGGCTCCAAATTCAAAGGTTCCGCAAGTGGCTTGAATGGGGGTGGTCAAGCACAGGCCTGAGAGGCACAGACAACAGGCCTGGGAGGCACAGACAGCGGGGCCCTGCTCTGGGGGCTTCCACCGGGCTTTGGCAGGATCAATTTTTGCAGCCTCTCCTACCGACGCTCCATTCCCTGGCCTCTGGAGGGCAAGAGGGCCAGCCACATAGCCAGAGAGGAAGGCCGAGGGCGAAGGCAACCCTCCAAGGCTAGAAGCCCCACCCCCTCAGCACACAAGCCTATACAAAGTTCTCCATCCTTTGGGTGTGCAAAACACCTCCCACTCAACATGGTGGTGAGCACCACAGAAATACCTCTGCAGATGGGCGGGCAGCACTTCCTGCCGCCCAGGGTCCACCCCGGTGCAGCTGGTGAGAACTGGAAGGGGTTCTCGGTGGCTGAGGTTCTGTGGGTCTCGCCAGGAGTTCAAGGGCCAGAGCGAATTGCTGGGCTCTGGCTGCAGATTCCTGGAAGCCTTCGAACTCCCCCCACCCGCCGCTGAGCTCCCCCGGGTCGGGGCAGCCGGCGCCGCGGGCGGGCGGGCCCGCTCCTGGCCTGCAGCCGGCTTTCTCCTCAGGCAGGGAGGCGGGGCGGCAGGCTCGGGTCCCTTCCACACCGTCGCCACTGCGTCCCACGGCTGCCAGGCGGAGGGAGGCCGCCCCGGGCGCCCCCGCGAGCGAGCTCACTGCCTCTGCCCCCGGCTCCCGCCGGCCTTGCATCTCGGCACGGCCGGGCCGGCAGACCCGCTGGCAAGCGGCTCCCGGGACATGCGGCTGCCGGGCGGAGCTGCCCGCAGGCTCGGCCGGCGCTGGGCGGCGCTGGCGGGCGTCGACGCCGCGCGGCTCCGGGCTCTCCACACCGCCCGCTGCCCGGGGACAGGCCCGGCACCCAGGGCGGCGGGAGGGAGGCCGCGGGAGGCCGGCGCGGGCCCGGAAGGCAGGCGCGGCGCCCGGGCTCCGGAGCGCGTCGCTCGGGCCGGCCCGAGGACGCCGGCGGGGTCCGCCGAGGGCTGGGTCCGCGACGCGGGCGGGCGGCGGCCTGGCTCCGAGGGCCCGGCCTCGGGCTCGCACGCGGCCTGCGCCGCCGCGTCGCGGCTCCCGGGCCCGACCCCGCGGGGCCAAGCTCCTAGCCTGCGGGGCTCCCGGCCCGCGACGCGCGTTGCCTGGCAACGGCGCGCGCCGACTCGTTTCCGGCGACCACCGGTGACGTGAGCCGTGCAGGAGGGGCGGGGTCAACGAGTAGCCCGCCCCTGCTGGCCCCGCCCGTTCCCGTCAGGCCCCGCCCCCTGAGCGTCCGGGCGGAGCTGCCCCGGCGTGCGGGCCGTGCGGGCCGTGCGGGCGCTGTCCGGCCCCGGCCTTCCGCGGCTCCCCACCCTCGTGAGGTTCTCGAGAGCGGCACCCCGCGGGAGCGCACCGGGCCCGGGAGCCGGCGGTCGCCGTGCTGCCGCGCACCCGAGCCCCGGCCGGGGACACCCCGCCCTGCCCGGGCGCGGGCCGAGGGGCCGGGGACACCCCGCCCTGCCCGGGCGCGGGCCGAGGGGCCGGGGACACCCCGCCCTGCCCGGGCGCGGGCCGAGGGGCCGGGGACACCCCGCCCTGCCCGGGCGCGGGCCGAGGGGCCGGGGACACCCCGCCCTGCCCGGGCGCGGGCCGAGGGGCCGGGGGACACCCCGCCCTGCCCGGGCGCGGGCCGAGCGCGGGGGACACCCCGCCCTGCCCGGGCGCGGGCCGAGGGGCCGGGGACACCCCGCCCTGCCCGGGCGCGGGCCGAGGGGCCGGGGACACCCCGCCCTGCCCGGGCGCGGGCCGAGCCCGGGGGACACCCCGCCCTGCCCGGGCGCGGGCCGAGGGGCCAGGGACACCCCGCCCTGCCCGGGCGCGGGCCGAGCGCGGGGAACACCCCGCCCTGCCCGGGCCAGGGCCGAGGGGCCGGGGACACCCCGCCCTGCCCCACGCTGGGTTACTGTCGGAGTCTTCTCCACGGAACTGGAGGTTCCCTGACAGCAGGAGCTAAGGCTATCTTGCTGTCCCCGAATTGCCTTAACTTGTGGGAGGTGGAGGGAAAGAGAAGGACGTTGAACGTTAGGCCTTGCCCCACTGGGTACCGTGCCCTGCAGCACAGCATCAATTTCAGGCTCATTTCCCCCATAAACCCCGGGAAGCCCCTCAGCCTGTAAGAGAGGCTCTCTACTTGGGTGTGGAGGTTCCCTCAGGTTTGCCGGAGTTCACCTCTGTTCTCTCCAGTCTTCCTGTGTGCCTCCCCTCCCCCCACAATTTGCACCTGAGGCCCAGCAGGACCTGCCTGGCCAGGGAGCTGCCTGCTCTCGCCACCTTGCCTGTCCAAGAGTAAGGACACTAATGAGTTCCTCTTACCCCTCTCCCAATCCTCCCCTCCCTCAGATCTGCCTTGCTTTTTCCCAACTTTAGCTCAGGAAGTCAGCCTTGACACCCCGTCCAGGCCTTCTCCAAGAAGGGGTCTCTGGGCCACCATTGGAGCCCCAGTCCACACCCAACCCCAGCCCACCTCCATGCTCAAAGGTCTTCTACCTGCAACCTCCTTGAGCTCTGCCGGGGCCCTGCCCTAGCATGAATCACCTAGTCCCTGGCCAGTCCCTCCGCTCAGCTACGGGAAAAACTGACTCAAAAGTGACAAGATGAGATCACTCTGCGTCTTGGATAATAGCCTTGCCCCTCCCTCCTCCCTGCATCCTGGATGATAACTCTCTCTCTCTCTCTCTCTCTTTCTCTCTCTCCCTCCCCCCCCCCTCACACACACTCTATTTCCCGAGGGGCAATGCGGAGCCCTGCAGTCAGACTGCTCCAGACTGGGTCTTGGCTCAGTTGCCCCAGCACCCACACTTGCCCTGCAGGGCGGGGTCAGATGCTGTCTGGGTTTGCAGACACTGACTTCAGTTTGTCTCTGACATCAGCAGGGCACTGACTACCCAGCAGGCCCTGGGTCTATCCATCACCTCTGCTCTAGCTCCCTCCCCCCCTCCCCCCCTCCCCCACCCCTCCCCCCCTGCCATTACTGAGTGTGGGGAGCTGGTAGGGTAGGAGGACAGACAGCCGTCCTGTGCCCTTGCACAGGGACGAGGGCTGAGGCCTGGGCCCAGTGCTAGAGTGACCACATGTAGGCTGGAGTACCCCAGCCTTCGTCACATTCCCAAGTGCAGATCCCTGAGGAGAGGGGGGAGTTCCAGGCCCTCGGTGTGCACACAGGAAGAAACCACTCAGGGACCAAGAACACAGCAGTCTCTGGTTCCTGGCCCACAGGCCCAGCTTGGGGTGATCTGCATTACCAGTGTGGCTACTGGTTCCTCAGAAATATTCCCATTCTGGGCTGGGAAGGTGGCTCAGTGGTAGAGCGCTTGCCTTGCATGCCAGAGGCCCTGGGTTTGATTCCTCAGCACCACATAAGCAAAAAGAAAAAGCCAGAAGTGGTGCTGTGGCTCAAGTGGTAGGGCTCTAGCCTTGAGCTGAAGAGCTGCAGGACAGTGCCCAGGCCCAGAGTTCAGGCCCCATGACCGGACCAAAAAAAAAGAAAGAAATATTCCCATTCTGATTCCTAGAAGGTGTGAATATGGATCTTACAAAGTGCAAGGGGCTTACACATGTCATTAAAGACAGATCTGGAGGTGAAGAGATGGGCTTGGGTTATATAGCTGAGCCCAGAGTAAGCAGGGTCCTTGTAAGAAAGAGATAGAAAGGACAAAGCATAGTGGTACATGCCTGTGATCCCAGCAGGAACCTGAGGCTGGGCTATCTAGTGACTCTTAACGCAAAAAAAGAGAAAGAGAATGTGTGTGAAGAAGTCAATTTGGGGGTTAGAGATGAGCTCAGTGGAAGAGCACTTACCTCACAAGTGCAGGCCCTGAGCTTGGTCCTCAGCTCTGAAACAACAACAACAAAACAGCCAGCCTGCCGCAGCCCTGTTTCCTGAGCCCTGCCATGAAGCTATGCAAAGGCAGAGGGAAAGTCCTGGAGGCCCGTCCAGACATGAAGCAGGCCTGGCTGTGGGAGAGATGGAGGCGGATGGAGGCAGCGAGGGCATGGCTGCTGAGGCAGGGAGGTGAGAGCCCCTCCCCACTGCAGGCCTCGGCTCCGAGCCTCGCAGGCCTAGAACTTCCCCAGCGTTTCTGAGCAAAGGATGAGGCAGATAGGATGTCTGAGGGTCCCTGGTGGCCTCTTCGGCCATGCCTGTGTGCTGGGGCGGGGCAGGGCGGGGCTGGTGGCCAGACTATTTTTGCTGTGCTGCTGCAGTGGACATCAATGATTGATGCTCTGGGTGTCCCCGCCTCGTGACCTGCCAGGAGAGGCCAGCAGAGCAGGCAGAGTGAGGACCAGCCTGAACCCCAGCGAAAGGGAGGGCGGGACACCACAGGGTTGTGCGGCACCCTGGGTGACATGTTGAGGGCCACGTGGCCTTATACTGCTGGGGGTGGTCTGCGTCCCCATAGCATTGGGAGCAAGGTAGCGGGGGTCAGTCCCCGAACCAGGCCCTGCCTGCTGCCTTCCCGGGGCCTCTGTCCCCAGAAGGGAGCAAGGGAGAGGCTGGAGCTGGGCTGGATGGCAGGAGCGCCTGGCAGCTGCACCACTCTGCAGCAGAGGATGGGGCTGGCTTCTGTCACGGAGAGGGTCCTCACCCCCCCACCCCGCACTGTGGTCCTGAGGTCAGCTTTGGGGGTCAGAGGCTTAGTAGTTGGTAGTGGTGGATTCTGGCTTTGCCCTGGAAAGGACACCCCCCCCATGGCATGGGGCCCCTGTGGTGGGGGGCGGAGGTGGCCCCTGAGGGGGGAGACTCTCTGGGCAGACACCCCAAGGTGTCTGTTCTTCAGAATGCGTCTGCCTTGGCCTAATTTAGAGGGGGCTCTCAGGAAGGCAGCAGGATTACGGGGTTGGGGTCCTGGGCCGGCCCTGGCAGCACATGCACCTCGCCCATGAGATGAGGAGGACAGAGCTGAATGAAGTCCACACTGCCCCAGAGCGAGCAGGGAGGAGCAGACTGGGACAGGAGTTCTAGGCCACCCCGTCTCAGGTGACTCCCAGAGCTGGTGAGCAGGCACCCTGGATCTGTCACAGCCATGCTGGGGACCTCCTGCGGGCCAGGGTGGCAGGCCCAGTGGATGTTGGCTACCTGGAGGGGAGAGTTCCTGGGGGGGGTGCCCCTTCCCCGGGGAGGGGGGCTTTGGCACGTGGGAGCCTGCTCACTTGGCCCCCACCGGGGTCTGGAAGGTCGTGAGGTTGATGGGAGAGCGCGTGGCTCGCGCAGGGCTGACTCCACGGAAGGGCCGAGGCTGCACACCTCCGGGGTGGGGACACAGCGGGGTCCTAAGGTCCCTGACCGGAAGCCCCTCCCACAGGCCCGAACCAGCCAACCTGACAGACACCCCGGAGAGCACGCGTGGGGAGCGCGGGGGGCAGCGCTCAGGGCGAGGGCGAAGGCCAGAGCAGGGCCCTAGTGGGCCCTGCGGGGCCGCGGGAGGACAGCGCCAGGGCCGCTTCCCGGCAGCCGCTGCGGGGTCAGCCGCTCGGGGCAGGCTGCCCAGTGCTGCGGCCCGCTACCGGGAACGGCCCGGCCCGGAGTGAGTCACCCTGCGGGTGGGGCGGGCTCCCCGGGCCCGGGCGGGCCCGCAGCTGTATGCGTGCGCGTCCCGTGTGCCGGGATGGGTCGGGTGGGGGGCGGGGCCGATGCGGGGAGGGGCGGGGCCGATGCGGGGAGGGGCGGGGCCGGCTCGGGGCGGGGCCGCGGCGGGCGCAGCCAATGAGCTGAGGGGGCCGGTGGCATCACCCGCGCGCTCGCCGCGCAGTGGCCAGCGCGGGCGGGGCGGGGCGGGGCGGGGCGGGGCCGGCGCGGCGGTCTGCGGGCGCGGGCAGCGGCTGCAGTGTGAGCTGTCGGCCCGCGGCAGCGCCGGACAGCGGGCGCGGCGCGGCGGGCGCGGCGCGGCGGGCGAGGCGCGGCGCCCCGGGCGCGCTGGAGCCGCGGCTGCCCCCGGACGCGTCGGGCCGCCGCCGGCCCGCGCCGCTCGGCCGCCGAGATGTGCGACTGCTTCCACGTGGTGCTGCCCACCTGGCCCGGAGCCCCCGGCAGCGGTGCGCCCCTCCGCCTGCGGCCCGCTCCCCCGGGCGGGTGGGCGCGGAAGTCCCTGCCTGCCTGCCCTCCCCGCCCGCCTCCTCCCGCCCGTCCGGGCCCCCTCCCCGCCACTCCCCTGCTGCCCCCCTCCCCTGCTGCCCCCCTCCCCTGCTGCCCCCCCTCCCCTGCTGCTCCCCCCCCCCCCCCGGGCCGGCCGCGCCGGGCGTCCGGGGTCTTGGCTGGTGCTGTGGCCGCCGTGGCTCTCAGCTGGGTGGTGGCTGCGGCAGAGCTGGGCTCGAGGTCTGGGCGTGGTGGGAGTCCCGATGGGGCAGAGATGGAGCCATGAGGACCCCCCCAGCTCTGGGCCAGGGGACGTGGGTGCTGTTCACAGGGTCCCTGCCAGGTGGCCGGTGCCCCCCAGCTTCTGCTGTAGAGGGGTGCCTAGTGCTTTTCACCTGTCTGTCCCGGCCTGGGCCTCTTGGGGGGTCTCTGTGTCTTGGTGGGTGGGCGGCCTGGCAGTCCTTCAGATTTGGGTCAGTAATGCAGCAGTCTGGCCACACCCAGGGCACCTGGCCAGCGGCTGGGAAGGGGGCTGGGGCAGCGCTGGGCAGGCACTGCTCCTTGAGGGCGGGCGGGCTGGGGGTGAGGAGCTGGAGGCCAGGCACCGTGCAGGGGCCACCCTTACCCGTCCAGGGAGCTTCCCTTTCTGTAATCCAAGGGCAGAGGGCTGGGTGGGTGGGACGTTCGGCCAGAAGGGCCACTACAGCAGGGAGCCTGGGAGCCAGGGTCCCTTCCAGCCCTTACCTGTGCCGTCCAGGGGACCCTCGAGCCCCGGCCAGCAGTGGGAGAGCGGCGAACTCGGAGGCGGAGCCCCCAGCCTGCCCGCTCTGTGGCTAGCCCTGCCCACGTCACTGCAGAAAAGCCTCCCGGGAGAGGGCCGGGGTCTGTGGACGTAAGATCGCCTCCTGGGAGAGGGCTGGGGTCTGTGGATGCCTCCTGGGAGAGGGCCGGGGTCTGTGGACGTAAGATCGCCTCCCAGGAGAAGGCCGGGGTCTGTGGATGCCTCCCGGGAGAGGGCCGGGGTCTGTGGATGCCTCCCGGGAGAGGGCCGGGGTCTGTGGATGCCTCCCGGGAGAGGGCCGGGGTCTGTGGATGCCTCCCGGGAGAGGGCCGGGGTCTGTGGATGCCTCCCGGGAGAGGGCCGGGGTCTGTGGATGCCTCCCGGGAGAGGGCCGGGGTCTGTGGATGCCTCCCGGGAGAGGGCCGGGGTCTGTGGATGCCTCCCGGGAGAGGGCCGGGGTCTGTGGATGCCTCCCGGGAGAGGGCTGGGGTCTGTGGATGTAAGACTGTGCTTCCCGTGCGGGTGCTCCCACGCTGGTGTGGGACCCCTCCACATTCCATCTCCCCAGCTGAGGGCCTGGCTTCCTGCTTTTGGCTTTGGCTTTGTGATTCCCTGGCTGGTCTGGGCAGCCCCTTCTGTGCCCATCCTCTCTTAGGGAAAGAGGCCAGAGGCCCTTGCCGCAGCTTGGATAGGAAACCTGGCAGACTAGAGGTCCTGGGGTTCTGTCAGCATGCTGGTTCCCAGGCCCTCCCCATTCCTGCACCCGGGCACCGGGACGTGCATTCCTGACAAGGACCACTCTGCTTTCACGCTGTTCCCAGTGGCACTCCACTCCCTGCAGGCTTCTTGTCTTTGCCTTTCGGCCCAACCCAGCCATCCCCTTATTCTCTGGTGCCCCCGCCCCCCCATCAAAGGCTGTCAGATGGTACCCACAGTACCCACAGCCCAAGGGACCTAGGACCTTCTCCCCAGCTGTGCTGAGTTTGCCCCCTGGTGGCTGTGCTGGGAATGGGCTGGGGGGCCCTGCACAGAGAGCCTCCCGGTCCGGTGTGTGCCTGCTGGGCTCCTTTACCGCCATGAGAAGGGACACTGCACAGGGCTCCTGCCTGGACCCCGGTGCAGTTAATCCCCACCGACTCCAGGTGTCCCACCTCTCCCATCTCAGGACAGGCCAGTACCTTCCCAGAGGCAGAACTGAGTCCTGGGAGCCTGCGCCACGGCTTCTGTCCTGAAATCTGCAGGTGCCTGCCAAGGCCTGGGCTCTTCCCTGGGTGTAGTGACACTCTGAAGGACCTCTGGGAGGTGCTTCACCTCTGAAGTGTGGGGGTCACAGAGGGGAACAGTCCAGGGGCAGGGCGCTGTGGCCCAGGTGTGGCCAGATGGCTATGTTGGAGCTAGAGCGGTGTGGCTCCCTGGCCAGGTTGTCCACCGTGGTGGGGACGCTGAGGCGGGAGCACGGAGGTGCGCTCTGCACCCCGCTGAGGTATCTGGCACTAGGCTGCCGCCGCCAAGGCTGCAGGTGAGCGATGTGGCACATCTGGTCTGCCAGCTCACCTGATACGCGGACAGAGGAGCAGAGGGATGGCAAGTCCCTTCCCACCACTGAGCGGGCTGCAGGCTTGTCAGGGTGACCCCCAGCCTGAGTGAGCAGGCTGCAGGCTTGTCCAAGGCGACCCCCAGCCTGAGTGAGCAGGCTGCAGGCTTGTCAGGGTGACCCCCAGCCTGAGTGAGTGGGCTGCAGGCTTGTCCAGGGTGACCCCCAGCCCGAGTGAGCAGGCTGCAGGCTTGTCCAGGGTGACCCTCAGCTCGAGTGAGCGGGCAGCAGGCTTGTCAGGGCAACCCCTAGCCCGAGTGAGTGGGCAGCAGGCTTGTCAGGGCGACCCCTAGCCCGAGTGAGCGGGCAGCAGGCTTGTCCAGGGCGACCCCCAGCCCGAGTGAGCAGGCTGTTGGAAGCCACCCGGCCCTGCAGCACCCTGAGCTCATTCTCCAGAGGAGGGTCAGGCTGGCTGGCCCGGGGTGATTGGGTGGCCTCCCGGCCTCTGACTCCTTCTGCAAGCCTGGGACTGTCTACTTGGTGCAGACGGGGACAGGTGGGCTGGGCCCGGGGATGATGGGAGGTCAAGCTGGTGCAGTTTCTGGCTTCCTGTGCCCAGGCAGAAGCCTGCCCTGCCCTGGCTTGTGGCTGAGCCTGCAGCAGGAATGCCCATGCTTCCTTCTCTGTCTGGACAAGCTCCTCTGTCCTGAGCCAGGCTGGCTGCTGATGACTCTGGAAGTGCCAGGATTACCAGGCTGATCCCTAGTGCACGCTCCCCCCCCCCCCCCCCCCCCCGTCTCTCCTCTGTCCTGGGGCTTGAACTCTAGGCCTGAGCACTGTCTCTGAGCTTCTTTTGCTCAAGGCTAGAGCTCTACCACTTGTACCATTTCTCGCTTTTTCTGAGTAGTTTATTGGAGATAGGAGTCTCTCAGCCTTTGCTGACTAGGCTGGCTTTGAACTGCAATCCTCATATCTCCGTCTCCTGAGTAGCTGAAATGACAGGTGTGAGCCACCAGCCCTGGCTCCCTAGCTTCTTCTGGACCCTGTTGGTGCCTTTCTTCCTCCCATGGCTCTGTGTGGGTTCCCACTAAGGCTGGCCTGCACAGGGAGTGAGGCCCCGGGTGAGGAGGCCCTGAGCCCCAGCAGCAGGAGTGGGGTGTGGTCCGCCCAGGGTCCCCTGCCACCTACCCCAGGACTGAGAAGCTTAGTTGCTGGCACTCAGAGATGAAGGGGTGTGGGTGGCTCCGCATCTCTGCCTGTGCATGCATCTCGTGTGCATGCTGGGTGCTTGGCAGGTCCTTCTCAGCACAGGGACTCACCCATGGTTCACTGGGCAGACGGTGAGCACTGCTGCAGTATACCTGTCCTCAGCTGCATGGGGTAGTGGAGGAGAGGTCTCACCATGGAGACCGGAAGCGGTTACAGAAAGGCAGGGTAGGGAAGAAGGCACAGGTGCTGAGGCCAGGGGGAGTGGTGGCTTGGCAGGTAGGGCTGGCGAGGTGGTGGGCCAGAGCTGGGCTGGAGGCTGTGTTCAGAGAGGCTCAGAGCCCACCAGGCAGTGCAGTTCCCATAGAATGATAAGCCTGAGTCTGGGGGCTGCCCTGGGGGAAAGATGGGTGTGGGACAGGAGGAGGCGAGGCTGGCTGAGCTTGGAGGGGACCTGGCGTGGGCAGAACCTTCGTGAGACACCATGAGGCCTGCATGCTTCCTGGCCAGCAGCTGACCTGCCAGGGGGGCCGCCCGTCCTGCCTGCCCCTGCCTCTCCCTCTGGGTTTCCCTTGATTTTTCTTTCTTTGGAAGCCGTCAGTCTGTGGGAGCCATAGTTTGCCTTGCTGGGAAACATATTTAATAGTCAGAAGCTCCTTCTCAAGTGGAAAGTTGGAGCTGAGCCCAGGAGGCTGCGCTCCGCGTCTACACACCCCAGATGGAGGCCAGGACAGCAGGCTGCGCTCCCCCTACCTGCCCCATGCCCCAGGTGGCAGGGAGGAGGCAGCTACGGGGCCTGCCTGGCCTGGCCCCCTGGGGTGTGGGCCCCCCAGGTCCAGCTCGGGGCTGCGCAGGTGCTGGTGACTCAGTTCCGCCCCATCCGGCCGTGGCCTCCCTTTGCTAGGGGCTCTGCCTCACATTGCTGGGCTGGGGCTCTTGTCCCTTTTCTGAGGGCGGTGTCCTGGAGGCCCCTCCCTGGCAGGCCTCTGGCGGAGGCGGCGCTCTGTGGTGGCATGCCTCCTGCAGATGCCCCGCTCCATACTTGGCTCTTGCTGTGTGATTGATTCACTATCAGCCGCCCCAGGCTCCACCCAGCCCCTGCCAGTCCAAGTTCCCACGGGAACCCAGAGCCAGGCCCGGGGGCTGGGGGCTCTGAGCCTATGCTCTGGCGGTCAGGAGCCCCTCTGGACACCCAGGCCAGGGGGTCGGCAGTGTGCAGCTGCTGTCCCACCGACCCACACCTGCCTGACCACGGAGCCAGCTCCAGGGGGGTCGGCTCCCTGGGAGCTGAGAGGCAGGAAGGCCTTCTGGGAGATGGGGAGTGGGCTAGGCTGTAGAACACCCACTAGGGGCAGGGGAGGACGGGCACCCTGGTTCTTGCCCTCCTGAGCTCAGAAGCCTAGGATTCTAGCCTGGCCCCTTCCCCTCCTGCCCACACC